TATATGTACTTCTGTATCTGTAAATGTATTCATGCTTTTGTAAGTATATGACGCGTTAGTGTGTGGACTTGTGTTTGTATGTATGTGAATATGCGGTGGACGCGCGCGCGCCCCCGTGCCGGTCCTTCTATTACAAGGTGTACGCGTCTTAAGTGATTTCGGCCTGGCTGGTCAGCCCGGCAGCTCCGTATGATGAGGCCGCCGCTTTGCTACTGACAGACCTAAAGACCACCCTTACCCTGCAGTCGGGGACGATGAGGGGTTCCCCACCCCCGTACTTTCTATATACGTGTGTCTACGTGTACTCTTCTCTCTCTCTCTTTCTCCTTCTCACACTGTCTCTTCGTTCGTCCGCTTCTGTATATGTGTTCTTGTATATATACGTACGTGTGTACGCGTGTCGGAGAGAAGCAGTCGCGAGCGAGATAGGAGAAAGCGAGAAAGAAGGAGAATGAGAAAAAGAGGGAGCGAGAACGATATAGCGATAACTAGTGTGAGTGAGAAAGAGAAAGAACGAGAGAGAGATAGCTCGCGCCGTGAGGGTGAAAGAGTAAGAGCAAGGGAGATGGAAAGAGAATGTATGTTTCAGTGAGGGTGAGCAAGCGCACGATAGAGTTAGAGTGCGAAAGAGAAAGAGAGAGAGAAAGACAGATAGAGATAGGGAAAGAGAGAGAAGAGACGATATCAACCTTCTCCTCCCGCGTGCAGGGACCGGAGCGAATAAGCAACCCTTAGCACCCGATGCCACCTCCACGGCGGCGGCGCAAACGCACTCCTGCCTCCGAGGGTAGTCTTATCCCCACCAATTCTTCCGTAGGAGAGCGAAACTGTCACCCCCTCGTCCACCCCCGTCGGACTACCCCTCCGCATACCACCGACATCGCCACCGCCGCCGTCACTACTACCCCTCTACTAGTCTCGACTCTAACGTCGACGAGGAAACCCCTTCCAGTTTCGTTTCCAACCCCTTCTTCTTTGCATCTCTATCTCTTTCTCTCTTTCTCTATGTATACATATATATATACAGATATATATCTATAGACATATATCTTTCTTCGTTTCTCGCGTTTCTCCTTTTTTTCTCATTCTTCCTCCATCCATTTCTCTCTATCTTCCTCTCGGTCCTCTAGCCGACGCGCGGAGTCGTCTTAAGATAAAAACACGGACGATCGGGTTTTGCAGTTAACTCACTCACCCTCGCTACTCGTCACACCCCCCAAACCCCTTTCTCTCATCGTGGCCTGCGTTCCTTTTCATCCCACTCTTCTTCTCATTCTCTTTCGTCTACCTATCCTGATCTACACACCAAGCCCCCTCCCACTTCTTCGTCCAGTTGTCCCTTGCAAGCAGCAAACCTCGACTCACCCCGAACATCTTTCTCTTTCTCTTACTCTTTTTCTTTCTCTCTATTCTCTTCTTTCGTCTCTCTTCCAACTTCCAGCAATCCCATCCCCTTCGTTTTCTCTCTCGTCAGCTCGTCGACGAGACTTTCGATTCTATCGGGGGAGATAGGAGAGCGGATGCAAGTTTCACCCGTCCTCCCGCATATTTTTCCTCTCCTCGAGCATCGATACGACGAGTAGTCGCATGCCGACTCGTTCGTCGTCTTTATCGTACCGTTCACCCCTCGAACCTACACGAATACGAGTGAGTCCTTGTTCCTATAGGCTAACTCACCAACAACTTCACCCTTCACCGTACTGAACTCCCGCTGTGAAGGATAACAACGGATGCGACCTTGTACGCTCTCTCGCCGGACAATCGCGCGTCTTTTCTACTCGTCGAACGTTTTTTAAAGGATATCGAATTTTAATAATAATATTTTCTCATAACTCTGTAAAACATTATTTCAAATCTTTATACCATATACGTAAATATTTAACGTATACTTTATATATAAAACTGCAAATCATTATTACATTTATTTTAATAGAAGACACTAAATTTCTATTTTAAATTTCCAGATGTTTTATGTTATTAATGAATAACAGCTTACACACCAATGATTACGGATATATTTATAGGGAATTCCTCGTATTCGCACATATAGATGTACCAGTCTGCTGGCATAAGCCCGATCCACACAGTATCAGAATGCTCGGAATATATCGGTCGTTGAGGAGTTAAACGTTTCAATCAAAACGATTATTTTCACGACAATAGGTTTCTCCAAGTTGCCACGTTACAGCATAAAATAGAATCAACGATTTAATATAATGTATGAATGGCAAAGTGAAAATTACAGAAGCAAGACGACGATATAGCACCGAACTGTTTTTACAAATACGTGCACGTTCGAAAACTAGACTTTTAATGATCTTGTAATAATATTATTTTGAATTTAATTATGAAATATGTAAAATTTATTATCAAAAATATCATTATCGAAATTTTTGTTATATTATCAACGTATGAATTAGACGAATTCGAAGAACATACGTTAATTCAAATTCCGATAAAAAATTCCAACGCGGATGAACGGCAATACACGAAATGAGCATTAAAATAAATGACGCGATAAACCGAGGCTCGGGCAAAGTCTAAATCTGTCAAACACCTCTCGGCAAAGCTATCGCTCGTTCGTTTAATTATATTCCAAATATTTTCGAATGAAATCGAAATTGATGAATTATTCTCGATATAAAATTAACTTTCTCTGAAATCTTGTTATCGTTATATAGGAAATGTGTTAATATACGTTAAAAAAAAGAAAAACCAAACAAAAGAAGGTCGACCTTGCCAATCGGTCCATAAGGGAAAATCATTTTCACACGAGTGAGTATAGATATTATAGTATTGTGGTGGGGTATATATCGAAACAAATTTTTACGTGGGTCAAGCTTGTCTGCGCTTTTCGAACTAGGCAACTCCCCCATCCCCCGTCCCCACCCATCAGCACCATACCCCACTACCGATCGACACTCATTTATACTTTTACCACCTCTCCATTCCCTCCGGCCCATCGTGGGGATTGTTTATGACACGATTCGTTTGATTATTAGCTGTTTATACGCGACCATCGATTGAACCGCTAACTGCCATGCGACATTACGCCAACAAAACAGTACCGGTTTGCATTTTGATAAAGCCTCGTCCACGAACATACGCTTCTACCCTTTTTCAACCCTTCTTTCGGGTATCTCGTAAAACTGGTTTTACCGGATCCTCTCTACGAACTTGTACGACTCGCCGAACTTTTTCAGTTCTCTTTGAATGTTCTTAATGCAAACTTCTTCTTATTCGCACTATTAACTTCATTATTTTCTTCAAATAAAAACTTATTTGAATAAAAATACGTTTTTCTTACTTCGAAATAAAACATTATTTTTTTTTCGATTCATTTAAATATCATTCTCGGCATTTCTAATATCAAAATTCATGTAACGTGTTTCTTTTTACACGCGTATAAATGTTAAGTAACAATATGTCGTAGTTACGTTCGTCAGCAGAAAGCCACAGTTACAGTTGCAGAAATAGTTCAGTGCAGTGCGATAACGCGCGCTTGATGTTTTTTAATATCTCGTATTCTTAAGTTTCAGTTTACAAGGATGAATCATTATGTGAATAAAATTGTAATTATTGATGCGAAAAACATTTTTTTTTACACGAATATTGGCACGAAAAATATTTTGATTTATTTTGAACTCTTCGGTTCTATAGTTCGGTACCGTCGGCACAATGTGTGACGTGACTGCTTCTTCGTCTGACTAAAACTTACCCGTATCTACTTAAAAACTCATATTTAAGAATTCAACTGATTAAGATGTTTTAACCAATATCTTTTAAATTGTTATTAGAATTTGAGCTTTGAGTATATATAAAATAAGAATAATACACGTTTCTACATATGTTACTATCACATGTGGCTAATTGTCAATATCTGTAATATATACACCATTAAAATCAGATTTATTTAATAAAATAATAAACGTGTTTATTATTTTGTATGTAATGAATTTAACCATTCTCTGAACAAAAATTTTTAACTAACAGTTAGTATGAATATCTATCGTAAATTATTTACGATTTAATATTTATTTATTAATATCCATGTAAATTTAGAATAACTTAAACTCATTCTAACAAAATTTCTGATCATCATAATTTTGACATTAGACTTTGTTTTCTAATCTCTACTGCACCGATCTATGCACTTAACGCACTCAAACGAGTATTTAACGATACATGATATTTACGATAGTGTTAAATATCAGATTAATGAAGATCACACAGCCACACACGACGAACCGCTTTTCTTACGATATTTTTATACAGATCCGTTTAACGCATATGAAAACCGTTATTTTAATCATCACTATACACACACTTCACCATCACCATCACCTCTAGAGACTTTTCCCTTCGTTCAAGAAGTAGCCCTTTTAAGGAGAAAATATCCGCAATGGGCCGACAAAGGAGAACGCAATAAAGCGATCCCTCGATCATCGACGAATTTATATATCACTTCCTTTTTCTTTTACTAATATAAAATGTAAACCAGTAATATAGATACTTTTTTACAAGAAAAGTATTATTAGCTATAATCATTGGAAGCAATATATCGTGCAAGGAAGGGACGATCGAAATAAGTATCATCGTGACGGCGGCTTAATGAATCGTTACACTTTTTCTTCCGTAAAGTAAATGAAAATAACAAAATTAAAAAAAGCTTAAAAAATGAAAGAATAATCACAAGAGAAAATAAGCTACATCCATGCTGAATCTTCATGCTAGTATCTCAGAATGTGAATTCGAAGTATTTCTACAATATCTTTCATTTAAATATTGACGGACTACACTACTTCAATAGAAAAAAATAGTTTGAGAAATGTTCTAAAAAACTTTTTCTCAATTTTTGACTATTCATCGATTGACAAATATCTTCGAAAGAACATTCTGAGATCAAACTTCTACTTGGAACATAATAAATGATATAAAATAAAATAGTAAAGTAGAGGATAATCCATAAAATGTAAACTTTATATCCCTCGAGAACTCACCTGTCTTTCGCGTCGAACCGAAGAAGACGAGCTGGTGTCGAGGGTGTTACGAATATATGAAAATCACAGATCGGTGCACAACGTGTCGAGATCTCCTCTCTTTCTATCCTCCTTCATCGGGATTCTCCTATCGTCGTCTTTCAGTACGCCAAGGATAATGAGAATTGGTTAGGCGTATTAGAAGAGATGCGGCAGAAGCAATTCTTGCTCGCTTCCGATAAATGGTCAAAGAAAAAAGTGTTTCGTATAAGTGGCGCGCGCGCGCTTGTTGTTCGAGTTTTTCTCCCTCGGAGACGACGTTTCTTTTCCAAAGAATCACCCCCTATAACTTGCTTTTCTTTCTCGTCCGTTAAAAAGAAGTGTTACCGCTCTCAGTTCGTCGCTAATTTCCTCTTATCCTTACTTTTTAAATGTGGTTTATCCCTTTAATAAATATTCTTTTTTTAACAATTTTGGGCCTAAACTTGTGTACATTGATACGTTATTTTGGTTTGACTTCACTCTTCCTCTTCTTCTTTCTTCTTTACTAATTTCTTCTTAATTTTCTTGTTGACAACTAATCGTACGCGTGTAATCGTATTTTAAACTTCTTCTTTTTAATACTTTCTTCTTTTTATGAAGTAGTTGTTGCCTCCTTTTGTTGTTGTTGTTATTGTTGTATATTAAAATTTTGCTTTTTAATAATTTTTCCCCGAAACAATATATACAAATAGAATTTTTGTAGATTTTTTTTTTGTAATTTTAAAATTTCTTATTCCGCGCGACGTGTACGATTACGATAAACGACGTTTATGGACAAGGATGAGAAGGAAACGAGGGCGGCCCCCGGGGTGCTCGTCTCTTTTCGCGTGGGGCCCGGCTGATGAACGTGGCCGATGAACGAGCGCGCGGCTAGAGAGAGCTTGGGCTGCGTGGCAGAGCGCGAACTTGCGGGCTTGCGGGCGCACTGGCGCACACACGGCGCTCACCACTCTCTCGCACCGCTCTCTCGCGCACACGAGCCGGCCACGGCGTAGGCGGAGAGAGGAGAGAAGCTCTCTCTCCGTCGGCGGATGCTGTAAGCCAAAGGGAGAGAAGCACGCGCCGCGCAGACCGTCGCCTCCACCGCCACTGTTCTCTCATCCTCCTCCTCCTGACCCCTCACCGCCCCTCAAAGCTCCGTCATCTCCGATAGCCCGGACGGTGGCGCCTTCGACGTACGTTCCGCAAACCTTTCTCAACTCTTCTTCCTCCTACTCCTCGCGACGTAGCTGAACCTGCTACGACGATGAAAATCGCTACGAAAGGACGACAATGACAGAGATAGGAACACATCGACTTAAACTTCTTTCGCGCCTTTTTTCCCCTACCACCTTGCCGACACTTTTTCTTCTGCAAGGTCTTTCACCCTCCTCTTTTCTTCTTTTTCCTATTTTTTTTTACTATTTCATTTTTCTTCTTTTTCCAAGGAAATACTACTACTATTCCTTATCGATGAATGAATTTAACCTTTCTCTTTCACAATCGGCTTAGTTGTAATTGAGAGAATTTTTAAGAAATTATAGCAATGGGGAAATAAATCGTGTCATAATTGAAATAAGATAATCACTGATCTATCCAAATTATTGCCTTATAAAAATATTAATAAATTCGAATATCTTCGTTAAAAAGTTTCATGTGTATTATTTTGTTTTCCGAAATAAGAAGAAAAAATAACTTCACGGTCATGCGCGATAGTCGAAAAGAGAGGGGAAAAACCAGAGAAAAAGAAATGCACGAAAAGAGGACATACGCTACCCCCTACCAATGCTTATTTCTATCGAGGCTGCAGACGAATCTATTGTCTCAATAGTAAAGTAGTGTGTCTTTACGAGATCGTGTATAGATGTACTTTAATGAAAAATTCGATCGTCTGTATTAATATATCTTTTCATCCTAAGGTTTACAAATTCGTTTATATGTTGGTGAGAAAGGGTTACTGGACAGTGGCGAGCTCTTGCTTAGGTGGTCGCTATTGGAACTAAGCTGCTTGGGTTCTGTCTTCTCTTTTCCTCTTATTCTCATCTCCTCCTAGTTCTCTGATGCTTTAGAATCATATCCTTCTTCAAGTATCGATCGTTTTTTCGTACACGTAGCTACATGTATTCAACATATAATATTGCATCATATACTAATGCTGTTTAACTAACACTACGTATAATTCCGATTAAAAATATTTTACAGATATCAATAATTATGATTTTCAATTTAATCTTAATCAATTTAAGATTATCCTTAATGATCATTCTTTGTCATGTACGAATCAATTATGAGTCCTTCCTCTTTTGGATGCTAATCAAAGTGTTTACATTGAAGGCAGTAAGAGCATCCGGTTTATTGGTGTAAGGTGGTTGTTCCTTGGCATATAGAGAGAAGTGCAGCGTCTTCGCTCCCTAACTTTTGGACGCAGCTGCGCGCGATACCCGATCAGTGGCCAGTATTTTTATTCGCAGATTTTAAGGTCACTTGTTGCTTGTTTAGTTATGTCGGATCGTATACACGCTACTGGCCCCACCACGGTATTGGTAGATACGTGGGCGCGAGCGGTGCGCCGGGATGCTTCCTCTCACTCTCTTTCTCTCTCTTTCTCTCTCTCTCTCTCTCTCTCTCGCTTCCTCACTCTCGTAACGTGCATGCCGTACACGTGGGGACAAAGCGAGTTGTGAATATGTGTATGGTGCATCGAGAGTAGGTACACGCGCGCACGCGTTCACACACCTACTTGTATACGTATATAGATGTGGCATCGAACCGATAGGTGGACGGCCTGTCGATTTCATTTCCTCCCTCCGAAACGACCCACAGAAGAGTAGGGAAAAAGAGAGGGGAGTGGAACATTCCACTGTTTTTTCCGGTTTTTTTTATTCCTTTTATCCAAGGGTGTTCGTGTTTCTCGTTACGGTTTTTTTCAGTCAGCTTTCGCTACTCCGGGGTCCTCTTCACTATATCCTTGCTTCTTTTACTATCTATCCACGTATTCAACTTTTCTTCTCGATGTTCGCACGCGCCCACACCGATTTTCTTTCTTTTCTCTATTCTTTTTACTCCTTTTTCATACTTTACCGCGAACTTCTCTTTGCCCGTTCGAAAGCGAATCGGATACATTTGTTACGAATGTTGCACTAGATCTTTCGTTATACGTCAATGACATTCTCGCATCGTAATTAGACGTTCTCTAGAAAATATTCATGCATCGATTATAATTCTCTTTGTTATTCTCTAATTAATTTCAAAAATAATGTTTACTCCAGCAAGTGTAATTAGCAATTATAACGATCGTTCGAATAAATTCAGTAATTTTACAAAGCAAAACAATAGGAACTGGACGGATCTAATGAGAAACGCGTAAATTTTCTTTCCTTGGTATGTTGATTTCCAACATTCTCGTTCGTATTTGGGCAAATAGACTTGTTTAAGTAACGAGAAGGATACATCGATAGATATAGTAACATAGATACACTGGTAGAACTGAGCATGGTAGCACACTTGCGGGACGCTTGATTTGCGAGCGTCCAGTTCCATAGATCGAGTAGATCGATATCGTCGACTCCCTAGAGTCAGTCTTTTCCGCCTTCCTACTCAATCAAGCTGGAATGTATGTGATCTGTACGCGTTATGTGACCCAAACCTACGTGCTGATCTCGATCCCGAGGCTCGTCGAAAACACATGGCCTTTTTTAAGCTTTTAAAATATCACTTTAGTAGTCGATGTTGAAATTTTTGAGTTGAAGATAAGAACTTTTTTCCTAAGGAAATAAGTTTTCTTCTTATTATTATTATTGTTATTATTACGTTACTTATATCAACAGTTTTTTATTTATAGTTAAACGATAAATTTTGGAAGTTAAAAGTTTATTTAAAAATATTACGGGGTAATACTTTGTGTGTACATATATTTACATATATTTTCTAATAGAAGTTATGATGACCGAGTTTCATAAACGTGTAAATCTGGCAATCTCGAGGTCGAGCGTTATGCATCGACGATCAATAGGAAGTACGCCAATGCTCGTTGATTTCTCCGCGACGATAAGAGAGAACGATAATTGGACGCACTTGTATCAGCTTCATCTGGGATACATACTTAGCAATAGCTATGTTTCCATTCATATCTCGAATCTTTCCTACCATTTGCGTGATTGCTCATTCTATTACAAGACATTTTCTTGTCGATCCTATATAGTTTTTCCATTTCTGTTAGATGAATAATGGTTAAAATTCTTTTAACAACAATGAATAATCATTCACTACGTTATATTCGCTAATTTATTTTTAAACATTAGTAAATACGCTAAGATTTCCAATTAAAGATATACCAGACTCTTTAAATGTTGATACTAAATGCCATATTATTTGTCATTCTACATAGATAATTACAAGATTCGCGATCAAATCGATTATCGGACATATTGTTCACAGTTGTCTTCTTATCAGATAACAGGGATTTCGATATATCAGTACCTACGATAAGATCTTACAAGATAAGCATCGCGCATGGGATTCCTTCGAGCTGTAACGAAATGTTTCGGTATATGGGTCCAAAAAGTTGTGGACCAATGTGAAAATGAATGGAACGGTTGGGTCGTTAGCTGCTGGTGACAGCCACGGTATTAACATTCCTACTCTGAACAGAAACTTCGAGCTCGATGATGTGCCACAAATATGCACATATACGCGCGTTTATAGAGACGCAAGAATACAGACACAATAACCCTTGTGCGAATACTACTTGTAACTCGTGTTTGTGGGACGAATACATTCACTCGTACAATCACACAGACGAAGAACGTCTCCACGGTGGGATATCGGGGGTGCTTTCGTACTCGTTTCCCATAATAATCCCTCAACGTAAAATGACGCACACGCGTACACACACATACATTTATGAGAAGGTCCAGCTACATCGGTCTAAAGCTACCAGTTCAACTTCGTTTCTCTCTACTACCTCATTTACCCTCCTCCCTTAAACCCCCTCCCACACTCTTTCTCTCTCTCTTTTTCTCCTTTCGTCTCTTCCCTTTATGCCTTCTCTCGTTCTCCCTACTTTTCTCCTTTTCTCTCCTTCCTTCCTATCCATATCTTTCTCTTTTTCTTTCTTTTTCTCTCTCTCTTTCTCTCTTCTTCTACTCAGACTGCAGTCAAACGGAATCCGCTCAACCTTTGACCGGGCCGAATTAAAGCTTTTAACTGTCGTATTGTTTTTGATGGCTCATTTTATCCCGCGAAATTGTTTTCCATGCCTGCTTCGACCGTGCGTTTTAGGTGGAACCATGTCCCGTGTCCCTTGTTCTATACGCTCGATCGCTTTTCCTTTTTTATTTGAGGAACTTTGTAAAAACCATTAGCTTAAACATTTTTTACGCGATTTAGAATTAATACTATTTAAAAGCACACGATTTTGTTAATATTTTATCTGAAGAATGAATATATTAGAAATAAGATTCATATATGTAATTTCTTTTAAGTAAAATTTGGTATAGTGTTATCTCGTATTCTCTTATCAAATCGTAGGTAAACACATTTTCCGAATGATTCTGTGATGCGGATCTGCAATACGTTCCACTTGGCATGAACACGTACATTGAGAGAACGTAAATACGTTCATACCTGCGTACACGTTCCTACACTTTTAATCGGTA